CCTCAGCCCGCGTGGCACCGACCCAGCAGCTGCAGCTGCAGCCTGGCGGGACTTGCTGCCGCTCAGCCTTGACGCACACTGGCTGGGGGCCTGGGGTGCTGGGCAGTGTGTGCTGCCAGAGAGCTGCAGCCCACCCAGCCGTCCAGCTGGTTACAGCTTTGGGCAGGACTTTAAGTGGGATGAGATTTGCAAGAGATTATTTCCTGGATCTGTCTGGCCAGCAAAGATTATGTTGCCCTGACAGAGCTAATTACTCTAACAAGCATCTGCTGCTCGTCTGACTAGCTGGTGTGCAGCAGGCAGGGGACGAGGGCGCCTGAGCGTCCAGCAAAGCTGCCAAGGTGTCCCGGGTGGAGCTCTGCTCGCGCTGGGTATGCTTGTGTGCTGTTCCTGCAGATGGAGGCAAGTGTGCCCCCTCCTCTGGGCAGTTGGGATTACTCGAGGTCAGGCAATGCCAGGGGAGAACAGTGACATCGAGGTCCTTCCTGCTGGCTAGAGACCCCCTTGGCCTCGGCCACAGAGCAGCGAGCATGCCTGGCATGCACTGGCATTGCTGTCTGTACAAAGAAGGTGTTAGGTTATGTGACAAGGTAGCACAGAGAAACAGAGGCAGGCAGAGGAACCCCAGTAACCCAGTCAGAGAAGGGGACACGCTTCCCCAGCTCTGCCCAGGCTGTCACTGGCTCATGGCTGAGGGTGGCAGCCGTCAGAGTGAGCAAATGGGAGCTGCTCTCCCAGTCGTGCCACAGACTGAAGGGGCACTACCTAGGAGCATGGGACACATTATGAGAGGCAAAATGCACGCATTTTAGGATTGTGCAAGACTTATTATGGGATGTTTAGCAGAGGAACTAAAAGGTGAGGAAAGAGGGGGATCAAGGTGGTTTGGGGAGGAACAAAAAATGGGAAAACAGTGAAAAAGGGACAAAAGTGGCTGGTCACATGTAAATGGATTGATGGTCAGTACATTTGTCTGGCCATGTCCTGCATCCGACGACTGCTCAGCCTGTCCTGTCCTCTTCAAAAACCCCATTTCTAACTATTTTCCTGGGTCACGGGGACTCTGTTCTCTGCGCTTGTGTGTGTCAGATGTGTGTGTAGTCAGATCACAGGTGACAGGGCCACTGTGCCCATGGTGCCAGCAACTGGAGAGTGCAGGTGCGTGAGCGAGCCATCGCTAGCAGACAGAGATCCAGACTAGGCAGTGAGTGAGTGAAGGCCTGGGCGGGAGGGGTGGGAGAGAGGGTGTGTGCACACGTGTGCATGTGCGTTTGCGTTGGGACCACAGGGGAGAAGGCTGCCAGAGAGACCATAGGGTCTGGAGATCAACCGAGAACCACTCACGTGTTTCTGTATGTCTGTGCCTGTGCGCTGCGTGGCAGGGGGTGAGGGGATCCAAAGGCAAGCTACTGGGTAGACTGATTTTGTAAGCCCACGTATCGCAGCAGTCCACAGTGTGTGTGTCTGCATGTGTTGGTATCTGTAATGGAGGGGTCTGTAGCAGCTGGAGTGGGGCTGTGACCTCAGGGACCTGCACATCCAGGTGTCAGCAACTGAGGAGACTGGGAATCTGGGAGCACCTACTGGGCACACTGTGTGTCTACGCCCAGCTACTGGAGAGCTCCACATTGTGTCTATTCCTCCTAGCAGACCTTCACCAGCCAGTGAGGGGAGCAGGGTGAGGCTGTTAGTGCTGTTTGTGTCTCTCTGTGGCATTCTGTGTGGTCAGCACACATGTAGATGTGTCTTGTACACGTGTGTTTGTGTGTGTGCCTGCCAAGAGCACGCTCAGCCTCACTGCTGGTTAGACCTGGGGCCATGGCACTGTGGCAGCCTCACCTGCTGGATTTGGCAGCCTCTCACAGAAGGGACTTACACGATGTAGTCATGCACGTGGGTGCTGGTGGCCTGGCCAAGGCAACAGTCAAGCCAGGGCCATGCGTGCAGTGACGCTGGGACACGCGCAGCCACACCATGCACCACTGGAGGAGTCATGGGCACCCAGGCCAGGCCCACAGTGCTGTGGTCAGGCTCTTGATTTCCTCTGCTGTGCTAAAGGCTGAAACACCTGCACCTCATGTGCTGGCCCGACCTGTTGCTAAGGCTGGCAGGCAGGCAGCTGTGGCCAGGCAGCAGGGCTGCCTGGAGCTGGCAGCATCTGCCCCAGGGGCCAGAATTGGCCACAGCACAGCCCACATGCCCCAGCCAGGCTCAGCTCTCCCATCGAAGGAGCTGCCCAGAGCCAAGTGCAGGGTGCAGGTCCTACCTGGGTGCCTGTGGCCCACGGCACGTTGCCAGCAGCCAAGCCCTGTGCCAAGCCCCACTGTGCCTTCAGGTCTGTCTCCTGCCTGCCAGCCCTGTGGCAGGACCATGGTGCCAGCACACCGTGAGCCCAGAGCAGCAGTGATGATGTCCATCTCTCTACAAACAAGTGTGGTTTATTAAGGCATTTCTTTGAGAAGTTGGCACTTGGGTCCAGGCTGTGCTGGAATGGCCCAGTGTGCAGGCCGATGAGCAGCGCCCAATACATGCAGCTCAGCGAGACACGATACAAAAGGTACAAACAAAGTAGAAAACAGGAATCGTAGTACAATGTGTAAAAATAAATAACTGGAGGCTCGGCTCCTGGCTGGGTTCAACAGCCCATGACTATCTCCCTCCAGACCAAAGTGGGACTGCCGTGTGTCTGACCCTTCTGTGTGGCGTGCAGGGGGTGACCCATCTGTGTTCCCCTGTCCCAAACATGCATGGGGGAGCAGGGCTGCTTGGCCACCCCCGCCCGTGCAGGGCTCAGGGAGCACACAGCACCCTCAGCGTGCTCCCCACAGTGCCTGTGAGCAGGACAGCCCAGCCAGGAGAGAAGGGACGAGGGGTGCCTGCCCCAAGAGCCTCCAAGGGCTGTCCCTGTGCTGAGTGAGGCAGAATCCATCCTCCCTTCCCAGAGCCGCCTTGGGCCCTCTTTGGTTCCCAGGCAGTGCAGCCACAGCCCTGCAGCCCCCTCGGTGCCACCATCACTGCTGCAGATCCCCGTGCTGTGTGGCTGCCCTGTGCCCAGGAGAGAAGGGACGAGGGGTGCCTGCCCCAAGAGCCTCCAAGGGCTGTCCCTGTGCTGAGTGAGGCAGAATCCATCCTCCCTTCCCAGAGCCGCCTTGGGCCCTCTTTGGTTCCCAGGCAGTGCAGCCACAGCCCTGCAGCCCCCTCGGTGCCACCATCACTGCTGCAGATCCCCGTGCTGTGTGGCTGCCCTGTGCCCAGGGCAGCTCCCAGAGCTGCTGGCACCAGGCACCCACTCACATGTGCATCGTGGGGACCAGGGCGCAGCACCGCGCCTGCTGCATGGGGACACCCACGGTGCAGGCTGGGCTGGGACCTGTGGCATGAAGGGGGAGGTTTAGGGCTGAGAGAGTGACAGAGGTGGGGCTGCAGTCACAGACGGTTCTTAGCGGGAAGTGGGGAGGGAGTGGGCAAAAGTGATGGGTTTTGGCTGCCGTGATAAAACATTTGGGGCTGGGATTGCAGTCATGGTGCTGACATGCTTTGGGCCAAGGCCACAGACTGGGTCTAGGAAAAACATGACAAGAAAATGCCCCCGGATCCCCTTGTTAGATGGCTGGGTGTCCTCCTTGACACCACAAGCATGCTCGTGCCCAGGCTGACTGTGTATCTGGGGCTGCTGCAGTGCTCCACATGTCCCGCTCCCAGCCCTCGTTCTGCACCCACGTCTGTGTGGGTCACAGCGACGGTGACCAGGGCCGCAGTGGCAGTCCCTAGGACTGCACTCCCAGGGCACAGGGCCACGCGATGGGTGCCTGCTCCACCGTGAGCAGCCATGGGCTGTGGGGTGAGCACTGCGGGGGGCTGACCCTGGTGTGAGCATGACACCAGCCGCGAGGCTGGCTGCGTGAGTGGTGCTGGAGCAAGGATGGGGACCAGCCCCATTGAAGTGTGGCTCTGTCCCATGCTCACAACACAGCATGAAGGAACGGTGCAGAGCAGCCCCTGCAGTGAGGGCTGCGGACCAGGGGCTGGCGGTTCTGGCACCTATCCATTTTGGAGGTGTCCCTGGTGGCCCAGACTGTCCTGGCAAGCACGTCACACTGCAGGGCCCTGGGGGAGGCCAGCTGCCCAGTGTCCAACCCCGTGCCTATAAGAGAACGTGCTGGCTGCCATTACACCAGCTTCAATGTGCCCGGCGCCCCAGCCAGCCCGCAGCCGAGAAAGGTACCTGGCCGCGGGAGCAGCTTCTCCAGGAATGCAGCTCCCATGCTCAGCAGGGCACCTGCCTCCCAGCCCAGGCCCCAAGGAACAGGGGTCTCCAGCCGCTCTGGGAAGAAGATCCGTTGAAAAGGTCACATGCAGTGGTGGGAGGCAGAAGGGCTTGAGAGACTCCAGAGGACCCCGTTTCCCTGCACCAGCCATGGATAGGCAAGCAGTAAGCGGGCACTGCCTTGTCCCCCCAGCCTGACCTGGGGTGGGTCTCCCCTCAATATCAGGAAGCAGGTTCACCCATCCCCACAGGCAGCATGGGCAGACGGGCAGGCTGCTGTGTCTGTGCCCGCTGAGCAGTGCGTCCCTGCCCTGGGAGCATTCTTCCCCAGCCCTGTGAGCTCCTGCAGCGGAGAGGCCAGCGGGGGTGGCTCAGCGTCCTGCTGCACCCAGGCTACTGCGTGGCTTGGCAAGTGGTCGGGGAAGGGCAGGGTCTGCAGTCTGCAGTTCCCTGGCCCAGCAGGGCAGGGAGCGCCTGCCTGCTCCCAGCCTCTCTCAGAGCACAGAGTACCATGAAGCACCATCCTGCCAGGCGCCGATCTGACACACCAGGAGCAGCACAAGGAACCATTGCCCTGGGGTGCTGGCACTAGAAGCAGCAGTCCATAGGGCATCAGAACCGGCACTGAATCTGCCAGACCACAGGGAGCAAGAGGAGCCAACAGCCCCAAAGGACACAGGAACCCACAGCCCATGGGGGCCCTGGGCCAGGCAAGGTGCTGGGAGAGCGAGTTTAGCACCCATGCAGAGCAGCCCTGGGCTTGGCCCCACTCCTGATCCCAAAGCTGCGGGGTGCAGCAGGGGGAGTCCGTGGGCCCAGGTCTAAATCCTGAGCTCGGCCTCCTCGGGGGGCTCCAGCGAGTGCTCAGCACTGATGGCAGAGGCAGAAGGCCCCTGTGAGATGCCGAAGGGTGAGACCACAGGGGAGCGGGCAGCCAGTGGGGACAGCGAGGGGGAGAAGCTGGGTGACATGGCAGAGGACGAGATGGAGCCCTCGTGGCTGATGGGCGAGCGGCGCAGGGAGGATGGGTGTGGGAAGGTCCTGCCCGGTGGCGGCTTGGGGGGCACAGACTTGGCACCTGGGTGGGCCACTGAGGTGATGAGGGGTGGGGGGTCGATGCGGGGCTTGGGCTCTGCCTTGGGCTTGGTCGGGAAGGGCTTGCGCAGGGAGCTCTCATCCTTGAGGCGGGCAATCTCTGTGAAGACACTGGCCAGCGGCTGGAACTGGGGGCACCAGTT